AAGGTCAAGGCTGCTGCATGCAGTCGAGCAGGTTGTGCACTGCACAAAGACACTACAGCTGAGGAGGCACCACCCACATCTCAGAGCTTGCTGATTCGTGTATTTCTCGGGACAGTTTTCTGACAGATGGCACCAGAGTGTCCTGTTCTAATCAAATCACTGTATTACAATAGTCTGCAGACAGACAGAAATAAAGCATCATGAGACAGGCTGCCTTTTTCTAATAGACAAAAAAGGCACCACATGGAAGAGGAGGGCCGACGTCAGGCGCTAAGGGAGCGGAGGATACGCCTGTTTAATTTAGTGCGAAAGCCAAGAAAGGCCTCCTGAGGAGAGGGACAGGAAAGATTAGCAGTAGTTTAAAATTTTATTACAAACTCCACAGAACATCCAACTTACTTTTTACTGGATTTCTGGTATAATAATAGTTTCTCAGAAAACACATTCTCAAATTGCAGTTAGATCTGAAGGCCTCTCTGAAGTTAATTAGCCAGTGAACAAAAGTGCTATGAAGCCAGAGCAAGAAGACAGAAAGTTGCACGCATGTCTCAGACTGCTGTGTTTTCCCTCTGACAAACTTGTGTGTCTGTGTTTCAAATGTATTTTGTCTTGGTAGGTTATTTGGCAATTCTGGTATTTTCCAACATGTTTTTTTGGTGGGGGCGGGTATGTGGAGGAGTTAAAGGGTAATTGCTGCTTAATGGCTGAACAAATGGCTGTGCGAAGTCTACTTTTCTGCTCCCTGAGAATTAATTATTGCATGGATAAGAACAATAAAAAGCATTTCTTGAAGTGGTTCATCCATTTTAGAGAATTTAACCGTCAGCCATCTTCGGGGGCGTGCAAGTACACACCCTTATAAAAAATCATGCACTTTGTTTCTATGTAATAATTATAAATCACAGTGACAGTGGGTAGTTTTGTCACTGTGTCAAACACTGCCCTATGTATCCAACACTGTTCTTAAGTGTTTGTGCTTACTCAATTTTTCCCCATGACAACTTCTGAGATAAGAGCTATTTTTATTCCCATTTTACAGACTAGGGAACTGAGGCATAAACCCATTTAAATAACTTGCCCGAGGCCATAGTGCTTTCTAGGGGCAGAACTAAGATCTGAACCCTGGCATGTGGTCCCAGGGCTTCAGCTCCTGACCACTCTACTGCCCTGTTTTATTGGCAAAACTATCCAGTGGAGGCTGTAGATGAAATTGGAAAACCATTCCTTGAGCTTTCTTAATTAATGGAAAGACAAACACAAGTCAACATCTAGAAATAACCATACTGCCAGTATACAACCTGCATTTTAGTCAGAATAAGCTTTTGCACCTATGATTCACCAGGAAGGCCCTTCAGGGAGAAAAGTAGGGTAAAAGTACAAGGTGACACAGTATATGAGGGCTGTGACCCTCTCCTTCCAAAAGCTGGACCCAGGCCTGGCTGCTGTCCCTTGAGATGCTTCTTTATAAAGGCATCCTGTGGTCAATAGGTTTGGGAAAGCTGGCTTATTGCATCTGCCTCTGACAGACTGACCGAGTGCAGGGCCCATCCCAGGGCCCCAAGAAGTCCTCTGCTGCTAACGAAATCTGCAGAAACCTGCTTGGAATTCTTTGTTTCTTAGAACACCTACGTAACCACCAGTAAAACGAGTGCTTGAGAAATGCTGCCTCCGGGTAGGTATGTCAGTGTAAGGTGGCAGGACACAGAGAGTAGGAAAGAAGGAACAGAGAGGAAGGTGGCTCGAGGCGAGAATGTGGGTCAAGTACAAACTGACATATCCCTGGGGCTTGCTGTAGTGCTTCTTACCTGCTAGTCCTTAAAAAAAAAACCCCAACTGTTTGATTGAAGTGTACAAAGGGAGCAGGAATTTTGATTATGTCAGACAAAACAGTGGCTCTGACATGTTAGCAGTCTGGGTATAGTGAGATGATAATCCACACAGTATCTCCTTACTTCTGGAGACGAGAAAAGGAACACAGGGTTGGTATGAACCCTGTATTCCTACCTAAGAAGGAGGAAGATGGAAGAAAGTACCTTCACTAGATTTTAATTTT